TGGTTTTGAAAGTAAATGGTTGATTTATATAAAAAATGTTTTAGATAATTGTGGAATGTCTAATATTTGGAATATGCAGTTTGCTGACAAATGGGTATCAAAAAGTGTGGAACAAAAACTTAAAGATCAGTTCACACAATTATGTTTGTCACATATAGATAGCTTACCTAAATGCCTATGTTATAGAATTTTTAAGACTAATTTGAAATTTGAGAATTATCTCAACATATTGCCTAATAATTTATTATTTGTATACTGCAAATTTAGATGTGGAAGTCACCGGTTACCAATTGAGATGGGAAGATGGCGAGGCTTGTCACGAAACGACAGACTTTGTCATCTCTGCGATTCAAGTGGTATTGGTGACGAATATCATTACATCATGACTTGTAAATCTTTGGATGTAGAGAGAAAGAAATTTTTACCTGAATATTGCTGTAAAAATCCAAATACATACAAATTTAACGGTTTATTTAATTCAGACAATACTATCATTTTAGAAAAATTATGTAAGTTTATAAAAATAATACAGGTGAAAGTCAGTCCTCCAAGTTAAGTTACGTTTGTTCACACATGTGCATGCTTATATATACATATATGTAATTGTAGATATATATTTTCTCTGTAACTATGACATGTAGTTTTGTGAGAATAAAGTTCATTCATTCATTCCGAATGGGAGACTAATTTCTGTCAAAATTAAAACAATAAGTTCAGTTTTGAAATATAAAACAAGGTAATCAAGTAATGATTAAGTTTGAAATTTAAGAAGATTGTTGATTGCTTATTATTACTTCTTTGATGAACACAAGTATTAATTATGCTTTTGTCAAGAAATTGTAATGGAAATACAATTCAAGATCACTATAAAAACACAACACCCAAGCTGAGTTCAAGCGGAGTGCAAACATACATTTTGTAGTGAAATTCTTGTAAAAATACAAGCTGTTTGAGCAGTCTTTTTGATGTACCGACCTTGCTTTATAAAAGTAACCAGAAATGTCGGTGGCACTCATTTGGAAAATTGCTGTTCATCAAGCGTACCCTTGTGTGCTATGTGACCAGCAAGTCCGACCAAGACAACATGCTCTCCAATGTGAGGATTGTGATAAATGGCAACACAGGCTTTGCAATACAGGTATTTACAAATTTATTATTAATTTAGTTTTTCCTTTCGTACTTTCAGTCATATTTTAGATACATTTTTTTTTTACTTTAATTTTGGTTGAGACCCTTCCCTGATAAGAATTAAATCTATATTAGTGTTATTTGCATTACACATTTGTCCAATAAATGGACCATAGGTATCAATTAATAGATATAAAAAGAAGATGTGGTATGATTGCGGTATGATTCCCAATGAGACAACTCTCCATCAGAGACCAAATGATACAGAAATTAACAACTATAGGTCACCTTACTACGGCCTTTAATATTATTATCAGTGCATTAATATTACTTGACTGTAAAGAAATATATATATGTCATATTTTAATTTCTTGTTATTTCAGGTATATCAATTACTGATTACCGCCTGATGGTAAATGAAGAAGTCGACATTATTTTCCACTGTGCAGAATGTGTCCGCATACCACAAGATATGGAGGTTGAGGTACATATACGTTATTGTATTATTTCTTTAAATGTTGTGTGTTCGACAGAATTGTTTTAATTTCTTAACGTTTATTTATTATTTTGAGAAGAAAAATTGTATTCAACCTAAATTTTTCCTTTTTTGTGGTTGACTATTATTCCGAATAAGTCCTGTTATGCCAAAGGTCTCAAACCGTTATTTATGATTATGTATAATTAACTATAAAAAAAATACCCATCATAAATCATATTAATCCAATCATTGGGCGCGTGTCTCTGTTGAATGCAAAGTATACAAATTTCGGAGGTGTTAATCCTTTAATTAGTTTACGTGATTGCCAATTATCAAACAATGTTACAAATATTAATGTGAATTTATATATTTTGAATTATATTTTGACATATAATATTATATTATATTTGAAGTTTTTTTTTATACTTTTATAACTGCATGTTTATGTATTTTAGTGCTTTATGATATAGGTTATATGTGTGAATGTGAATATAAATGTTTGAATATTGGGTGAAATGTGTATGCAGTGGAATTAATGAATGAGTGACATGAGCATATGAGAGAAAAAGTATGAGATTGTTAATTTAAAAAATGTATATAAGATGAATGTTCAATGGCATATGTATATATGTATGTTCTTACATTTCGATGTGTTTGATTTTCACATGCCTGAACGAAAAGAATAATATATATGAGTGTTTTGTGTATGTATGATGTATGATGTATGGTTTATATGTTTGTTGTATATTTGTTTATCTGTATGACTGAATGAATAAATAAAATATATTAAACAAAAATATTATCTTTTTATTTCTTGTACTAAGAGTATATTGGTATGATTGTCCATAATACAATTCTCCATCAACAAATGCACAAAAATGATGGTATAGAATATTTGTTCCAACAGGAACAAATATTATGACATTGTTAATAACAAAGTTTCCAGTGGAACTTCTGTTTGGCGGAACAAATATACGTTGACAATGGCACTGCTGACAGACAAAAATTGATCCCAAAAGGAAAAAAAATACGCTTTCTACATGCATTAACATACTTTTGTTTAGATCTTCTTGATTAATGTATATATTTCCATGTATATGCATAGTTTCAATTTATAACTTAAAGTTGCTCAACTCTGGGACTATTACACTAATATAATTATATTATGTCCAAGCTTAACTGTTAAATTTATATATCTTCTTAATGAGAAATACTTAATTTCATGAACATGCAAACAGAGTAGTTTTTTAATTGAATTTTAAATGGTATAACAACTTTCTTTTCCTTTTTGATATAAAATTTTTTTTTTTTATTATTGCCAGATATTTAATTGTTTTTTTTCTGACAAGAGGACTCATATGATTGTGCAACTATATATGATAAAATTAAACAAGTTATTCTAATTGTATACCAAAGGTACAATTTGAACAATATAAAAAAAAATAAGATACATATCATTATGGCACTTAATGTATTATAGTAAAAACCAAACATTGTAGCACCGCGAGCAAACAAGCACTTCTCTTTCAAATCTCACCACTTCTCCCTCTCAATTTCAAAAAGAGAAGTCACTTCTCCCTATGATTCTGAAGTAGTGTGAGCCCTGATGGACACAACATTCAGGCTTGATACAGCTCTGAATTTAGATTGTGATTAAATATTTGACACAGCATAGGTTACTGACACAGAATGAATGTGGTCTAAGAACTTAATTTTTTTTAATTTACCTATTATGGTCCAATATCAAAAATCTAAATACATGGTTAGATTCAGCATATCAAAGAATCCAAAGAATTCAATTATTGATGAAATCAAACAAAGTTTAATTTTGGACCCTTTTGACCTCAATGTGGACCAATTTGATAATGGGGCCCAAAAATCAAAATACATGGTTAGATTCAGCATATCAAAGAACCCCATATATTCATTTTTTGTTGAAATCAAACAAAGTTAAATTTTGAACCCCAACTTGGACCAAATTGAAAACTAAGTCCATAATCAAAAATCTAAACACATGTTTAGATTCAGCATATCAAAGAACCCCAAGAATTGAATTTTTGTTAAAATCAAACTAAGTTTAATTTTGGACCCTTTGGACCTTAATGTAGGCCAATTTAAATAAAATGCTCCGCTGGGCGCAGCTTGATACAACCGCAGAGGTCGAACCCTGAACAGTTGGGGCAAGTATGGACACAACATTCAAGCTTGATACAGCACTGAATTTGGATTGTGATTAAATATTTGACACAGCATAGGTTTCTGACACAGAATGAATGTGGTCTAAGAACTTTAATTTTTTTAATTTACCTATTCAAACCATATCATTATTATTTGCTTTTATATATAAATCAGAAATAACCAATTTAAAAATGAAAATTTTAAAGAAAAAGGGGAAAAAAATCCCCCCCCCCAAATGTTTTGAACCCCCTTATGATTCATCACCCCCAAACTCAATCCCAGCCTTCCCTTTGTGGTATGGTACCTTGCAGTAAAATTTCATGGAGATCCATACACTTGAACACAAGTTATTGTCTGGAAACTAGAAAAATGCTTGTTTTTTGGCCTCTTTTTGGCCTCAAATTCCTAAACGTAAAGGGCAATTACCCCCAAACTCAAACCTAGCTTTCCATTTGTGATATGGAACCTTGTAGTACAATTTCATAAAGATCCATACACTTACACACAAGTTATTGTCCGGAAACTAGAAAAATGCTTGTTTTTTTCCCCTTTTTGGCCCCCGATTCCTAAAATTTTGAGGCAATTACCCCCAAAATAAATCCTAGCCTTCCCTTTGTGGTATGGTACCTTGCAGTACAATTTCAGAGAGATCCATACACTTGAACACAAGTTATTGTCTGGAAACTAGAAAAATGCTTATTTTTTCCCTTTTTGGCCCCTTATTCCTAAACCTTTTGGGCAATTATCCCAAAACTCAATTCCAGCTTTCCCTTTGTGATATGGAACCTTGTAGTACAATTTCATAAAAAGATCCATATACTTACACACAAGTTATTGTCCGGAAACTAGAAAAATGCTTGTTTTTTGCCCCTAATTCCTAAAATTTTGAGGCAATTACCCCCAAAATCAATCCCAGCCTTTCATTTGTGGTATGGTACCTTGCAGTACAATTTCAGAGAGATCCATACACTTGAACACAAGTTATTGTCATGAAACTAGATAAATGCTTGTTTTTTGACCGTAATTCCTAAAATTTTGAGGCAATTACCCCCAAAATCAATCCCAGCATTCCCTTTGTGATATGGAACCTTGTGGTACAATGTCAGAGAGATCCATACACTAACACGCAAGTTATGTCTGGAAGATACAAAAATGCTTATTTTTGGCCCCTAATTCCTTAACTTTGGGTACCATAACCCCCAAAATCAATCCCAACCTTCCTTTTGTGGTATTGAACCTTATGGTAAAATTTCAAAGAGATCCATTCACTTAAACTAAAGTTAGAGTGCGAAAACTAATGTGTCTTCGGACGATGACGACGCCGGACGACAATGACGACGCCAACGTCATACATGTACCAATATACGACCGCAAAATTTTTTTGCGGTCGTATAGAAATTACAATAATAATCAATGTACAAAATGTAGGTTATAAAATAGTAGAATAATATATATACTAAAAGAAACAGCAATGCTGCAAACTGGATTTGTTTGTTAGCAAAATGGAAAACTAGTCCTAAATAAAAACCTGTTTATGTCATTGTATGTTAGTTGGCTATAAAAACATGAGAGTGGCGAAAAAAATATTGTTTTGGCGAAAGAGGTTGCAAAAAAAGAAATTGACCCAGGGGAAACCCTGGATATAATATTTATCATGTTTATCATTACCAACCAACAGAAGAAAATAACATAGTGACAAGCGAAAAAAGCAATTTACCACATGCCCTAGCATACATGTACATGTTTAAAAAATTTATAAATAAACCTAAGATCAAAAAAATTTAACAAAAACAGTTTAGCTCATTTTATGGAGACAAAAATGAAATTTCGAAAAAACGCTCTATGGTTTTTTAATCTAAATCAATAGTAATCATGCATTTTTTCAATATTATTTGAGGAGAAATAAAAACGACTGCATAAGGCAACTATCATATAATAAAGTTGTTTTCTTTAAAAATTTAGATCATAGTTATATACATTTTTCCAGTTTCCAGATAACTATTCGTAGGCTAAACTGGTTTCGAAATATGATCGCTATCTGTTTATGTTAGTCATGTTTTTCTTGGGGAACAGTACAACATGTACAACAACCCATATTTTGAACTAAATGATAAAATAATCAATTACCTTTCTGCTACAACTGGATTGAATTGGGAATTTACAGTTTCATTTGGGAAAATTTCAGGATTTTTCTAATTCAGTAATTGGGAACAGGGCCGATATTTGGCCTAAAATAAAGGCAGGGAAATCATTGTGTCATTCACTCCATAGTACTGTAGTATGATTACTTATGCAGTAGTCTGGCATGTGGGACCTTGTTGAAAGCCTTAGCGAAGTCAAGTAGGATGATAATTCATTTCAACTTTTCATTTTTCTGCCAAACTATAAAAGACTGGAACAAACTACCATAACCAATAGCCTGCAGCAACACTACTGAGTGCTTCAAGGAGAAACTCACCAGAGAAATTCTCCTTGACACTTACAAATACTTGCATGTTTAATATGTATCTTGTTTTTATCTTATACCAAAAATTAAAAATAAAAATTGAAATATATTACTTACATATACCAGTCAGGGGTACTACTTAAACAAGTGATTTCATTATCACCTATTTCAGTGATTTGATAAATTCAGTTATCACCTATTAAGTATTTAAGTGATTTTGGTGTTTCCTTTGATCTTCAAATGCTAATTTCATTGATTTTCCATATTTTGACAAACTTTTCTATAATTTTCCTACATAGAACTAATTATCCCTTTCTTTTGTATATCAATTTCACCAGTGGGCTTGGACAGTAAGTTAGTGAGCTAAAGCTTTTAAAAGTACCCTTGGGAATTTTTCTATAATCAAATATTCATTAACTACTCTTACTATCAGACAAAGGTCAACAATATTAGGTAACCTGATTGGTTTTCTTTAGAGTTATAATGTCAGATCTACTTCAAGGTTATGCCCTGATCCTGGATCTACAAATTATTCCAGTTATTGCATATTTTAAATAAACTGTAAAAACTGACAGGCTAATCAAGCAAAAGACAATTTCTGCATGTACATAGTTGTTTTTTCAATGGAATTCTTGCCTTTTTACCAATAAGTAAGGCAAGCTTGTGGGAAAAATATCAAGAAAATGTTATAAACACTTGTTGAAGTGATTACATTTTAACTTCTCAAATTACTTGTTTCAGTGATTTTAAAAAGTCTGTGCATATCTTCATGTATTTTTGTGAAAATTTTTTAATATTTCACAGCCAAAATCACTTGAAGAAGTGATTCTGAAATCACTTGTTTAAGTAGTACCCCTGACTGTATACACTTGTATATATAAAAATTGAAAATTATTATGAAATTAAATATATTTTTGATCATTAACAATACTGTTAAACCAGGCATGTGCCAGAACGTAATCATCAACCATTTGATGTTTTTCTGTATATGAAGAAGAAAGAAGAAGAACTTGTGCTCCTTTAGGCTTAGCAATGTGTCTTACTATTTCCTGGACTGTTATCAATAAAGTTAGGGATTATTTTTAAATAAGACTCAGAGCGGATTGTTTTTAGATAATAATAATTTGTAAAGTGTTAAATTATTGAAAGAGGAGAAGGCAGTATACATTTTACTGTAGTTTCAAAAAATCAGTATTTTAAAATTTTATACAGTAGTGAATCCGGGTCCGTTCGCCCTGATTCCGGTTCGCCCTAGTACCTGTTCGTCCTAATACCTGTTCGCCCTGAGTCTGTTTGCCCTAATGCCTGTTCGCCCTGAGTCCGTTCGCCCTGATTTTTATTTTATTATATATATGTTGCATTGTGTGTATATATTTGAATATGTTAAAGTGTGTCTACAATTTCGTCAAATATTTATTTATGATGTATTATGTTGTCTAGCTGCTACCAGGAAATAAGTTTCTGTGAATTCAAGGACTACAAGGTATTGTTTCTGTGAATTCAAGGACTACAAGGTATTTAAATAAAACAACTGAAGACTAAGTTATCTGTATGTATTTGAATATGTTGAAGTCTGTTTACAATCCACCAAAGACAATTCATACAACAATCAGTGATATCAAAGACATCAAATTATACCTAATCAGCAATCAAAATTCAATCAACAGTAATTAAAAGTAATTATAAATTTTAAAAAAAAGTGCAGCCAAGAATTTAATTAATATAAATTTTTCAAATATTCTGTATTTAACTTTTGATAGATATACATAAATTGGGATAAATATATATAAATTTTAATAAATGTTTATTTTCATTCATAAATGTAACATACATTTGACATATACATATACACCTTATCGCTAATCCCGCTTGACCCGAGAATCAGTCCCGCTCGAACTTTTGACGTCATACAACAATCACTTTTCCATTGTGGCGTCAGATATTTTCTATTATGACGTCAAAATTTTACGGGAACTTGTGTGATGTCCAGTAATGGCGGACAAATAGCGATAAGGTGTATTCTCAAGGATATTTTCTTTACCAAACTTTCTGAAAGGTTTTGTCTCACTATACAAATCCTTGATATTCTAAATAAAAATGGGGCGAACGGACCCAGGGCGAACGGACCCGATACCTACAGTAGTCAGTATACATTATGTACGTATACGGACTTCGTCCTCTTTCACACTCACAGGTTACACCTGCCTCGTATTATTAATTACTTGACAAGAATAGAGGTTAAATTGGTCTTTGGGACACGCTTATCTGGTCACTTGGAAAGATCTTGCAGAAAATTTGAGAAAAAGGACTAACATAAAATAATATTGGTTTGAACTTGTTTACAGTTTGTTGTCTTCCTTTCCGTTTCCGGGCGCGAATAAAAACAAGATTTTTCTATGCATCTACAAGATAAAATCTTTCCACTTAGGTGTAATTATAATACTTCCGGTAACAGGGTAATTTGGATTTACACCACATGCTGACGATTATGCACTATGAACACCTTTTGTCTTTACACAAACTTGCAGTCCTATGTAAAAGACTGCACAAACTTCATATCCCGCGTTAACGAAATTCCCTTTCCCCCATCCATCAAATATATTTAATAAATAAAAAAAAAAAAAAATTTGGCCGTTATGGCTTATGCCCCATTTATATTATTTTTACATGTAATTTCATCCCCCTACTTACTATTTTATGCATAAAATGTAAAGAAATAAATTTGTGGAAGGTGTACAAGTTATACACTGTCATGAATAAATTTGTGGAAGGTGTACAAGTTATACACTGTCATGACTGTCCCATGTATGTAACCATTGTGAATCCAGAACAAAATTTGACCGACTAAAAAGTCAACTCGGACTGTCTATGAAGACAACACAGACTGTCAATAAGTCAACTCGGACTGTCTTTAAAACCAACTGGGACCGTCTGTAATGACAACTCGGGCTAAGTTTTAAAAGAGGTTTTGAAGTATTATAAATGATTATAAAATTTAGGCCAAAATAAATAAATTGTGTGTTTCTGGTTTACCTCGGTTTCCGACGCAGACCCTAAACATTTTATTGACGATTATAAAAAAAAAAAAAAAAAATCTGGATTTTTCAGTCTTTCTGGATCCAAGTATCCGTTGGGCATATTGAGCTTGTCGTAGCTGCGGAATGATAGCTTGTAGGTCCTTATAATATTTTTGGACAATTTGCGGATCATCAGCACAAATTAAATCAGGAAACATAATAAAGACCATTAGAGTTGCAGTTCCGCAGCTAGGCTTGTCGACAACCGTGCTGCGTAATAGCTGTCAAATATGCGAAATGTGATCACATGGACGCAAAAAATTTAATGACATCGATTCCTGATAATTACGATATGATGAACCTTTTAGAAGAACATCATGATGATCCTATAGACGAAAAAAATATGAAGCTGAAGTATTTTGCTCAACTTCTTTGGACCAAAAGTCAGAATTGTTCCAGGTTGAACAGACGGTATCTGTCGGTTAATTGACAAACAGTTTTAGAGTGTAATGTGTTCAGTTTACTGCTAAAATCAATCCAGCTATTGTTGTAAATATTAAAGAATCAAACAAAGGGTGGCACATCAGTCAACAATTTCATTTGGAACCTTTTTTTCTACTGTCAACAATAGAACAAATATAAAATGATTTCATAAAATAAAATGTTTTACCCACCTACCCTACCTATTTTTTTTGGAGGTGAAATAGGAAACACACAATTTATTTTGGCCTCAACATGACAATTTGCAAATCATTATTAAAAAAAAATAATTTAATAATGTGAATTCAAATTTTTACTTATCTTTATCAATTTATTATAAAGCTTTATTGAAGCAAAAAAAAAAGTCTAGGTTAAATTTGTTTAATTAATTTGTTGAATTCTTTATTTATTATTTTTAAAGTCAACTCGGACCATTTATAATGCCAACACTAATGAATCATCAACATAGAGTTTGTGCTGTTTATATGATAACATGTTATATTTTACATCAAAGTATCCATTAATGTAGATTCTTATTTCTACTTCATCATGGTGATTCTATATTTGGAATAACATCTTCATTAATTCATTAAACAAACTTAATTTATCCGTTAATTAAAATCAATATTTCGTCATAATAATTAGATTATAAATTAATTATAAGGCCTAAAATGCGCACCTGATTTAAGTTATCTTGTTTTGTAACCTCCATTGACAATGGCTACATTGGTTACACATATCAAAACCTTCATATTATCATGATTATACATGTAGTTAAATTCGAGTCTTTCCAGGTTACAATGGGTTTTTAAATGGTAAATAGTTCACTACTGGTTACAATGGGGAATATATGTTATGGTTATAGTTAATTATACTGTTTTCAAACCTTGTTACTATGGTAACCAAAGAACTACCTATAAAAAGGTACTCTATTTGTAGACAATGAAAATCAAAGAACGATAACTGTGTCCCCGGACCTTATAGAGTAGAAAGACTTGACCAATTTTAATAAAGGCACTGTCTACAATTACGTTGAAAACATAACAATAACAAAAAAGTTATTGTTACGTCGGAAACTATGCTGGAATGCTAGGTTGAGTTAGGAACTGATTAATTACAAATGCAACAATAATATTTGTGTCTACGGTTACGTTGTGTTAATGTTATGTTAATTTGTCCTGAACATGCATGAAATATTTGCCACTGGATGTTAAGCATCCATCAATCAATCATGTTGTGTTAATGCATTTCAATATATGCTGGGAATAGTAATATGTATATAGTATGTCCCATATGTATGAAATATAATCAACTACATCTTTAACAGTCAAGTGTCCCATATGTATGAAATATAATCAACTACATCTTTAACAGTCAGGAGACTTACTTAAATGAATGATTTTTAAATCACTGATTCAAGTAACAATTTGTCCACAAGTGTTGGAAGTAAGAGTTGTCTTTCTTTAATAATCACCTATTTAAGTAGTTCAAATAAATCACTAGACTAAGTGATTTAATTTTATTGTAGCTTTAGATATACAATACTAATGATCCAGGGACTAACTATGTTGCTAAAATTATCAGAACCAACATCTGTGTTGATAGGATGACCGGTCATGTCAGGTGATGACCTGTACTAAATCTGGGATAATGACATAAAAATCACTTGTTTAAGTATCATACCTCTATTTTCATCCAAAAAATCACTTCTTTAAGAATTATTATTTTAATTACCCCAACTAATTTCAACACCCCCGAACAGTGAAATTTTGATCGTGAACAGTAAAATTTTATTACATAATCTGTAAGATGAAACCTTGAATTTTACAGGAAAAATACTCCCACTGCTGGGAAAAATCTGTTAAGAAAGTATCAGTTCATTATGTAAAGCCTTCATTATAGCATTTTTTCAACAAATATAGAATTTACAGCTAAATATTGCATCAAACATGTCAAAGGCATAAACCTTGCTACTTAAAAGAAGCAAAAGGTTCATTTTTTTCAATTTTACTAATAATAAGATATACATTTTGTAATCTAGACATGCTAGACCTATATGTTTAGAATTTTGGTAAAACTTCAAAATCACAATTTGTGACAAAATTTCGAATTTGCTACTTAAATTAGTGATTTTTATAAATCACTTATTTCAGTAATTCCCCTGACTGTTTAAAACTTTTATTCGTAAACAATTCAACTATTAAATATTGCATACAGATTATATATTTTATTTACCATGGCAGCTTCTCCACATCTAATATGTGCTTTTGGATGCATGTTTTAATCCAACACCTTTTTGGTAGCCATCACAATTGAGTGATGCAGCAATGTGCACGTTGGTTTTGCACACTAAACAGTTCCACTCTGCAATTTCCCTTTTTGAAGTTATACTATATTCGATTGATTTTATGACCAATAAATATTAATATAGGAAGAAAAAAACCTACCTTTGGTTTGGATGTACTCCATCTGATTTTGAAATGAAATTACGTCCTCCATGGATACATGCATACACCAGTTCACAATATTTTAGTTCACTTTTTGTCTCGCCTTGACGGAGTCAAAAAGCGAGACATAGGTATGCTGTTTCTGGCGTCGGCGGCGTCAACAATTGTATTAGTTTGTGATTAGGTCTAGTTTATGGTGAACCACTAGTGGTAGGTCAATGATATTTGGTATGCAGTTGTATTAGCATTGGCACATCTTATTTCTACAGAGATTATTTGGCCCTGCCCCCTCAGTCATGGTCTATTGACTTTGAAACTTTTGCTTAGTTTACATCTATTAGTTTGTGATTAGGTCAGTTTATGGGGAACCACTAGTGGTAGGTAAATGATATTTTGTATGCAGTTGTATAAGCATTGGCATATCTCATTTCCATGGAGATTATTTGGCTCCGCCCCCTCAGTCATGGTCTACTGACTTTGAAACTTTTGTTTAGTTTACATGTATTAGTTTGTGATTAGGTCTGTTTAAGGGGAACCATTAGTGGTAGGCCAATAAGCATTGGCATGCAGTTGTATAAGGATTAGCACATCTCATTTCCATGGAGACTATTTGGCCCCTCCCCCTCAGTCATGGTCTATTGACTTTAAAATACTTTGACTTAGTTTACATGTATTAGTTAGTGATTAGATCAGTTTAAGATGAACCGCTAATGATAAGTCAGTGATATTTGGTATGCAAATTTATTGGCATATGCAAGTCTCGTTTCCATGGAGATTATATACACCCCCTTCATCATGGTTCATTGGCCTAGGAACTTTTACATAGTTTACAAGTTAATCATGTTAATGTTTGTGTTTAAGTTTGTTTAAAGGGAACGACTTATGATAAGTCAATGGTATTTGGTATGCAGTTGTAGTAGCATTGGCACATCTCACTTCCATGGAGATTGTTTAGCCATGTAACGTCAGTCATGGTTCATTGACTTTTAATATTTGCATAACTTGCATGTTAAAATATTGCTTTTTTAATTTCGACATTTGCATTATCAAAATTACAAAAAGGCGAGACATATCTCTGTGTTAACAGTTTATGCTTTTGATGTATCAATTGTTTTGCCAACTTCATATAACTGTATAAAATTTGAAGCGGAGGGGGCATTAAGTTTTACCCTTGTCCGTCTGTAAGTCTGTCCGTCCCGAAACTGGTTTCCGTTATCTAACTTAAGTTTGCCTCAACCAAATGTTATGATTCTTATACACAATGCTTATTACCACAAAACATAGATCAAGTTTGAATTTGGGTGGTGTCACTTTTACCTTTCTAGAGTTATGCCCCTTTACAAATGGAAAAATTGCTGAATTTTTCGTTTCTGTTCTCTAACTTAAGTTTGCCTCAACCAAATGTTATGATTCTTATACACAATGCTTATTACCACAAAACATAGGTCAAGTTTGAATTTGGGTGGTGTCACTTTTACCTTTCTAGAGTTATGCCCCTTTACAAATGGAAAA